TATTTACTTAAAATGGATTTAATTAAGGTCAAATAAACTGACTATATATCTAAACTTTTATTATTCTGAAGGCATTTGAGGAGCGAATGATGCAGATCAATGATTCCATGGAAACTGCTGGATTTTCATAGAAAGAAAACTTTTTTTAAAACCAGTTTGAATTATAAACTGTCTGATAACTAGAATCAGTTGCAATGTGTGTATGATTATACTGGGTTGACTTTGTGAAGTGTGGTGAATTGGTGCTCCGTAAATAAACTGATCTGAACTGATTTTGTCTTTTACAAATAAAACTGAATCCCTGCAGACAAAAGGAAATGTGAAAAAAATTTAAAGCAAATAGACAAGACACTCGGAAACTAAAACATAGAGATCAGTAAAAAAAAATTCATATGAAAATGTTTTTATCACAAGGGGAAATTATATCTTCTCAGTATTTTTTATATGCAGACTTTTACAGTAACTTAGATTTCCAAAACTAAGTTCTTAGTTTGTGTTGAAATTGGAAAGATGACACAAAGAAATTCCAGCAAGTTTAAAACTTGTAAGAATAACTTCTTATTATTACTTTCACTTTAAATATTTTAATCTATTGAAATGGCCCTAAATACCTGATAACTGCATGCCAATGAAAAATGACACAATTATAACATTTTTAAAATATATTTTGTGAAAAGGTAAATAGTAATAGTAGTAAAAAGGGGAAAAAGAATTTTGTAGCCCTTTTTGTATGATTTCAATTGAAATTTTGGATATAAAACACTGTGGGTTTATCATCATTATCATCATTATTGTTATTATTAATACTAATTTTAATTAATGCTAACTCAAGTTTGTCTTCAAGTCAGTTTCAACCATAAGATGCTGAAAGTCAAGAGCAGATTTGCAGCCACTGCAGCGCTATCACACGAAGTTACACACACATTCAGATTCTCTGCTTGCATCTTTCATCATGTCACTATAAATCAGGCCACCAGACAAGTTAAGCAACAGCGCCATCCACTGCCCATGACAGGCACGTGCACAGCTGCATGAAGTGGAATAAAAAGATTTTTTTCTGTATTTACAGCATTTATTTTTAAAGCAGTTGTACCAGGCAGAAAGGGCAATGCTGAATGTATCTGTGGTATAATCAATACATAATGGAGAAAATTGTTTTGGGAATCTATTATAAGGTTTTTATAGAGTTAACTGCAGGGTCTGTAATTAGAATCAAAAACTATATATTGATTAAATAAGCAACATTTTCAATTCAAAACTCCTTTTTGCTGTTAAAATTTAGGCACATGAGCTCAACAACATCTATATTTACTGTTTCTAATCTTTTATTTTGCTCATTATACCATCAAATTGGTGCAAAGTTCTATTCGACCCATTCAGATTCCAGGAGTGATTCAGGAGTTTTGAAAAAAATCCATCTTTAGACTGCAGATGCTAGCATGTGCTGCTGCTACATGTTTAGCATTCAGATGCTATTATAGGCTTGGATAGCTTCAGCATTAGGCTAACTGCTTTTAGCACAACGTGAACACAACAACAAACCTATTGAAGGAATAGATTGAAGGAAAACAATATTTCCTTCATTCGTTTTTTGAAGGAAATATTAACCAGCGGTGGGTTAAGAGAAGCATCTTCTTGTACATCAGTGTTGTAATTCTAATTCTGCCTGTGTGTCAGAATTACAGGCGTACCAGAAACATACGAATACAAAAGTTCCTGCTGGAACTTTTTTTATGTAAAAAAAAAAAAAAAAAAAAAAAAAAAAAATTGCAATAATTGTGTAAAAAACAAACAAACAAACAAAAAAAACATTAAAATTGTGTAATTAATTGACCAAAGTTAACATGTTAAAATCCCAGACCGAGAAAAAAATAAACATTTTGATGAATATTTTGAAGTCTAAAATTAACATGACATTGATGACCTTTGGTCTATGTATATAAATCTCTGACATTAACTGTGTGCTCATCAGATACTGTACATCATAAATTGTATGATTTGTTTTTCTATAGTGAGAGTGTTCTGGTGAAGCAAAGATGAGGCTGTTCGAAATGCTCCTGTGTGTGTGTGTGTGTGTGTGTGTGTGTGTGTGTGTGTGTGTGTGTGTGTGTGTGTGTGTGTGTGTGTGTGTGTCTGCTTCCCTCTGGCTGACAGGATGAAGAACCGAGCCCTAAAGACTCTTTGATTTGGAGATGAAACTGACATTTATCAATGCCAAAACTCTCTGCTGTAAAAGTAAAGTTCTGCTCTAAGAGCTGAAGCCTGCTGCTCTTTTGAAGTCATCACAAAAAAAGAGCAGGAACAAAGCGTGCTCTCAATGTTAAAAGGAACCATGGCAAATACAGACTTCTTTCTTTTATTTGACCTCAGATGGATCACCTGTGACAACCAACTTAATTATGAGCCAGAAAAGAAAGACAAACTGAAGCACGACGTGTGATGCTAACGGATGTCAAAGCGATATTCAAGATAAGGGAACAAAGATGGCCTCCTTAGAGATAAAGTGTAAGTGAATAACTCAGGCAGGAGAAATCAAATTCAGAAAACAGAGGAAATGAAGCCTCTGCACAGCATGTGTACCCCAGGCAGATTAAGGAAAAGACTTGATGTCATCATATTATGCAAGGAGAAGCTTACTAAAGGGCAAAAATAGTCAAACCTGTGATAGCAGATCACAGAGAAAGCAAGAAACCATCTGGCCGTACCTTGTACGAAGGTGATGAAAAGATACACGCGTTGTAAAGATTTAAAGCCTGAGAGATGCCGAGTTTCATCCGACCAAGTGGAACTCGGAGAGCGGTTCAGAAGTTTGTCTTTCAACAGTCTGGGTGTTTTCCCACCTGACAGTCGGGCTGACTCGGTTCGTTGGAGAATTAAAATCACAGTTTCACATTGTGCTGTGTTTAATGAACCAAACTAATTGAAAACCCTGTTCACTCCCTCGCCTGTGGTGGTGCTGCACCAAGAACCATTCAAGGAAATGACATGAAAACCTCTGAAGAAGACACAGCACAAAATCCTTCTTCATGAAATGGAAGGAAGTTACGTTGAGCAACGGGTGTAGGATTTCTCTTTGGCAGAAAAACTGAAGCCATTTTTCCATCTTGCGCTAGAATGGTGTGTTTGTTTTGGTCGTATTTACCCAGAATGCCCTGCACTGTAACACCACTTCCTGCTTTTGGTGCGATCTCAACCAAACCCAGACCAAGGTTTTTAAGTCGACCAGAGGCAGCTGTTTTGATCCACATCAGAGTTCAGTTACCCATTCACACTTCCCCAAACGAACCAGACTTCAAGGAAAATGAACCAAGATTCGATTAAGGTGGGCTGAACTGGGATGATGTGAATGAACCCTAAGTGCATACTTTTCGAATGTGAGAGCCTTAGTCCTCATTTCCATTTTCAGATGGTACAATCATCTCATTCAAATCTGTGTGCAGATCTCATGCGTCCTGCTTCAATACATCTACGCTGTTTGAATCCTGCACCATATGCTAAGAGTTCCTCTTTTTTTCAGCTCTTTTTTCTCTGCTTGCAGAGTTTCTTTTCATCCATCCATAATCTAGACCCACTTTATCCTCGTTACAGGGGAGGAGGTAGCACCCTGTGACAATGATAATAGTAACACTGTCATACTTTTGGCTGAAGCTGTCCTGATTGTCCTGGTGTGGCTCCTCATGCTCAAACTTCATCTTCTCTTGGGTAAAACAAAGAAAGCAGTGATGTCTCTGTTGACTGAAATTGATATCAGGCCAACAGAGACATCACTGCCTTCTGTCTTCTCAGAGAGTGTGACTTTGAAACCAGAGTCCTCTCGAGGGCATGTGTGTTGTGCTGCTGAAGTTCACTCCAGAAAGACTCACAAACAGAGAAAACACGGCCGAGGGCAAAAGTTTTACACTCGGAGAACAGGAAGTTTGAGCGTGAGAAGCAGGAGTCTAGCATTAGAAGATACTCTAAATGTTAGTTGCACTAACAGTAAGCTAAGGCGCTACACCAACAAGGTATTTAGCTAATGCTAAAACACTGACTTTAATTCAAATAATATCTGCCGTTGAAAGATAAATTAAATTTTTGCAATATAATTTACATATTCTGTAATCCCCAAAGATATTATTTTTATGTTTGTATCTTGCTCTTCTGTTCCTTTATGTTTCTTGTTTGTTCGTGGGAAAAAAGAGAGAGAATGAGGAGAGGAAATGGTCTTCACGCACTTCAAAACAAGAGTATGAATATGAACTTGAAGATCTTTTAACAGTTGATCATCAAAACTTCAAAGCAGATGTAGAACTTTATTCAGCTGAAAACGTATAACAAACAGACAAATAAATTATCGCCTTAGATTCATGTGGGGGTTAGCTAAGTGTGCGAAATGTTTTCAAAGATTGGCAATTTTGCCAAACGAAGAAGTTAGCTTTGCTGCTAGCAGATTAGTGGACCTGCGTTACACCACAGGCGAAAGCAGACAGCAACAAACGAAAAAGATAAAAGTCTGATTTTGGTCTGGACCTAGTGTGAATACACCGGTAGTTTAACTGAAGCATAATCATGTTTTAAAATACTGAACAAATTCCTACTGAAAATCTGTGGTAAGACAAATTTCCATTCAAAGATACTCTCAATTCAATAAGACTTTGGCTATTTTGAAAACGAAAAATGGGTGAAAACATCAAGTCTGTAGATGTAAAAAGCTGGTAAACAAACGTCAAAAGACTTGTAGAGATTATAAAACCAACAATGTGTTCGTCCATCTTTTGATACTCCTGTAGCCAGACGACTTGCATCGGATTCATACAAGAAGTCTGCAAACAAGACCGAGACAAATAAAGACACCGTGTTCGTGTTTGCTGTGGATCGCACTGACCAAGAGCACAAACATCCAGGTCAGGCTAGCTTTTTATTAGCAATCCTTCATTCGCTTTAAAAACATAGAACAATCTTTTACGCTGCAGTGAAGGAACAGATGAATGAATACGGATCCTCAGAGAAAACACAATGTGTACGATGCTTCAGTTGTTTTATTGTCAGCAGCAGCATAACGACAGGCCTCAGCGCTGGACGTACAATCGCAGGTTCTTACTGGAGAAAAAAAACAACAAAAAAACGAACAAACTCTGCAGCCACACGCAGACGGAACGAGCGACGGCCGTCAGTAAACCGAGCTCCGCTTTAAGATGTAAGGCCTTCGCGACTTGGCGTTGTGGGCGGCTTGCCTCTTCAGGATGTACGGGGATTTTCGTTTCAGCGGCGCATCGCTGTTCTCCTCTGAATATTCCACCGAGTCTCGGAGTAGCTGTGAGGAGCAGAGGAGGGGGGATGGGGGGGGAGAGGACATGGGTTTTGTTGCTCAGAGGCAGTGTAATGTGATGCTGAGCTGGCGTTCACTGTGATTAGAGGAGTGTACTTGCTCTGCACGTTCATGCATGGTGAAACAGGTGCTAATCTGCTGGAGCTATGTTAACATTTCAAGAATAAAAAAGAAGAAAAAAGGGGGAGGAAAGCCTCTTTGAGAGGAGGATGATGGAGGATGTGGGAGAAGAGGAAGTGAGAAGTGTGTTTACAAGTGGGTACGGTTAGCTGTTTTCAAAAGTGTGTGTTTGTGTCTGAATGTGTGTCAGAAGGACGGTGTGTCGTTGTGTGTTCAGGGGATTTCATATCAGCTAAAACAGACTCTTATTGGATTAGCTGGGTTAGAGTTATTCTGTCAGTGATCGGGGGTTTTGGCTGTTAAAGCTGCACTGTAACTTTTTTTTTTTTTTTTTTACAAAAAATGAAGTTTTTTTGCATATTTGTTAAAACGATCACAATGTTGTGATAGTGTAATATTAGACACATAATCTGTGAAAAGGTCGATCTCAAAATATAATCAATCAGAGACAGGAGGAGGGACTTAGCTCTGTCAATCAAGCTCATGTACTAGCAGCTCATCGTGCTAACATGAAACAACTCATCGTTTCAGGATCCTGTTTATCCGCCTTGCTAAGTAGCCTAGCATTCATGACAGGCTACCTGCATCATAGCAGAGAGCAAGGGGGACGGTGATTGACAGCGCTAAGACCCGCCTCCTGGCTATGATTGGTTGTTTCTAGTTCGCTCTGGGACCAATGGGAGAAGGAATAAAAGCTTGGTATGAGACAGATTATCTGTTTCATATCATATTGTCACAATATAGTGACAATATCAACAAAGAATTATTGTTCATAAAAGTTAATGTACTATATGAACTTGTTGCTTCACACTGCAATTTTTACTTGACTGTGAGAGACTAATTTGGCTATTTGAAAATATTTCAACTCCTGAAAAATATAGGATTTTCAAAATTAAAAAAAACTCTAGACTTTTGTCAATTTCCACAGGTTTTTTTTTTTTTTTTAAAGAAAATTTTTTATATTAATATAAACATTTTTTGAGGGTTTACAAGCAATTTTCTTTTACTTTTCAAACTCAGAAATGTCCATGTTTTTCTGTTTTTTTTTCTTTTGTAGAAAGTTTGAGATTTTTTGGCAGAAATGTACTGCTTTTTAATTTTCTATCCTCAATGGCCTTTTTAAGCCATCATATGCCATGGGCTCTTTACTGTATATAACAATAGAATAAAAACCACCAGAATTTTTGCTTGTGGTCTGCAGTTCAGCGGCCCCCATCTGGCACCCCCCCTCTATAACCTGATGTAGACCAGGTTATAGCTGCCAAAATGGAGAACCGTCCAAATGCAGAAAAATCCAGAAGGAAAACAAGGTAGGTCACCTTGAGTTTTACATTGAAATACACTCAAACGACTAAGATGTTGAATTTGCGCAGAGGTGTCTGTATTGAGATGTGTGTGCGTGTGTGTGTGCCTCTCACCCTCTCCTCCCGGCTCTGCAGCGCTCTGCAGATGTGTTGGAGGCTGTACAGCTCTTCCAGCAGCGGGAGACTCCCTTCCCTCAGCTCGGAAGCCTCTGCCTCCTCTTCCTCCTGCTCGCCGCTCCACGCCTCCTGCCGCAGGCCGCCCATCAGCCGGCACAGGTTGGTCAACGATACGTGCCAGTAGGGGGCAGTCTGCCTGTTGTGTTTCATCTGTAACAGAAAGAGACGAACGGGGGCGGTCGGCTGGAACCGGGACCGGGCTCTTAATTGAATTGTGGATACGATGGAAAGGGATTCACTTTCAAAAGCTGAGAGCAAATTAGATCCGGGTTTGGAGCGTAGGATGTCCGCGTTGAAGTTGAAACAGTCAGACAAAATAAAAAGAAACTTTGAGTAATAAGTTTTACAAATCAGATTCAGGTAAAAATAGAATCAGCCTAATGCAGAGTAATCCAATGTTCTTGTTAGAATTTCCGTCGTGCTGCCTCTTGTTACCCTTACCCTCTATGTCCAGAGAACACGACAAATGCACAAACTGGCTTAAAGTAAACAAAATAGACACTTTTGGTGGTAAGTATCTTAAACTCTTTCAAACTCATCCCACCTCATGTCTGATGTATTTTAAAGATCCTAGCTGAAACCTGGTGAGCAGTGCAAGCAATTAAAGGTGCAAAATGAGCTGAAGTTCTCTGAGAATTGCTATGAAAGGACGTTAGGAAGATATTAAAGACTTCATATAGTTGAATTTTTAATCAAGCACAATAAGCACAGTAAGTTTAATGTTGTGATAGCTAAATTCTAACAATATATTGTGTCAGTTGTGATTCACATTTGACATGTGCAACAGAATTAGACTTGCTAGCAAGCCTTAACCATAAAGCAGTTCTTACTTTTTATTTTGGTAATTGTATGAAGTACTATTAATAAATTATTGAAAAATAGTAGTAGTAAAGAACCAAAGTAGTGAAGAACAAACTAGTAGAACATGCTAGTAGCAACTATGCTAATTGTAAAGCCAAACATGCTAACAACCTGAGTTTCTCTTAACCAAAGTTCTATAATTCTGGTTTATTTAAAACGATATATAAAGGCCACAGATAGCACTACACATTTATAATATTGTTTATTTGTTTATCATGATAAGAATTTGGATTTATTGTAATGATGATTTTGCTTTAGTCCAAAAAGTGATGACCTTACTTAACACGTTAACTTTCTCCTCTGTTTCATGAGAGCTTCAATAAATAACAATAAATTCGCAAATATGACTTAATGCAGTTACTATTTTTAATTTAGTAAATCCCACATCTTTAAATGGTGTCTTTAAGAAACCAATTGAAAAATAGGAATGCTTTTTATTATCAGTATTTGTGTTTATTGGGTGTTGATCGCTGTGCCATGCAGTCATAACTAAAAAAAACAAAACAAAAAAAAACGCAAAAGACACTTATCGTTATCACGATAGTACCACGAAATATCGTGATAACATTTTAAGTCAGATGTAAAAGTTTGACTTAAGTTTTTAATTATTACCATTTTAGTAACATCACAAACTGTTAAACTTTATCCTTAGACTTGGATGTAGCTTTGCAGGTTGTAAATTAATATGTAGGTAAATAGCATCCAGATTGAGAAATGTTAAATGCATGCTAACATCTCGATCATTAACCACTGTGCAGATGATTTGTATAACTAAAAAAATGTTCTATTAGTTTAATTTTGTTTTATTGGTAGGACGTTAATTTGTTACATTGGGATTTTTCTGTTTGCTTAGTAGAAGATAAAGAGCTCTCAAAGAAACAATGAGCTGCCGACATTTGGAAATCAATCAAAGACTTACACAGCTCCAGGTTAGTTAAATGTACAGACTTGCGCATGGCCCTGTGAGGCCATGTGTGTGTTAAGACATTTCCTTTATTTCTTTCTTTTTGAAGAGCAGCAACAACAAAAATCGTTATCATTTCAACAATAGAAACCTACGAAAGATGAACCGAGGTCAATGGAAGACAAATCAGTCTAAGGTAAGCGCATTCTGTATTACAGTGACACATTCTGATAAGAGACTGCCTCTTGTATCTCATCAGCGGGTTATTCAGTCTGAATGATCACCAATATCATTCAAATGGAGAGTGACAGCATCCTCTCTTTACGCTAGTTCTCCTTCCAGTTTCTTGAACGCTCTATCAGTCATCCGACAACTTAGAATCACGATCATCACCCCTGAGCGCGCGCCAAGCATCGGCTGCAATGAATCACACGGCTGATTTGTCACCGTCACGTCTCCGTGCGAGCGGCCCGGTTGTTTATCAGGCAGAGAAAAGGAGCAGGATGTGATGTCGTTAGGAAGCTGTCAGCTCCCTCTGAATCCCATTAGCCAGTCTCTGCGTCTTTACACTTCCTCTCTTAAAGAGTTATTCTCTCATTGACTGGATGTGATCATTACAGGTGGGCGAATCGATCCAAAGTATTGGTAATTTCGATACCAAGCTGATATCAGCATCGGATCGTTATTAAAGTGATACGATCGATGCTTTAGTTTCAGTTTCTCTCTTGAAATGCTACTTTCTTTTCGTATTGTGGCTTCTCAGTGCTACCGCTACCTCAAAAGAAATTTTGTTTTGATTATCTCTCAAAACATACTTTTTTTTTTACTTTATTTAGGAGAAAATGTGCACAAAATTGTTTGGTATTTCAATCATTTATCATGTTAATATGCTATGACATTATTTTGTAGACACCTATGAACTTTGTCCAAATTCTGCCTGCCCTAGGTTCAAATTAAATAATTCAAAACAAAAATTGGAAAAACACCTAGAATTCAAAAATTTGATGATATATTAAACTTAAATAATAAAAAATATCATCAGAATCGGTTGGATACTAGTCGAATCGATACTAGTGTGGTAAGATTGATGCGTTAAGTTCAGATTCCGTCTTGAAATTTTATTTCAGTATTGTAAGTTTCCCAACTCTATGGGAATAAAATTTTGTTTTGATTTTTGCATTTTATTTAGGAAAAAACAATTTTTTTGTTTTTCTATTGATTCTGTTTGTCATGTTAATATGTTATTTAATTGTTTTGTAGACACATAGACTTTGTGCAAATTCTGTCCTGGCTTGTTCCGAAATAATTCAAGCACAAAGCCTCAGCAGTTTGATGATTTATTAAACTTAAGCAAAAAATAATGGTATCAGTATTGGTATTGATACTATCATGTAAGATCGATACTTAAATTTTATTTTTATTTTAGTAAACACCTATAAACTTGAAATTATCAAGTTGAAATTATCTCTCAGGCTTCAATTAAATAATTTAAAGGAAAAATCTCAAAAACGCCTATCGGTCTGAAGTTTGACGATATATCAAGTTGAAATAATAAATGTATCAGTATCAGTATTGGTGATACTGAGTGTGTATTTACCAAAATATGCAGTATCACACACCTTTAATGATCAAGATAATGTGATAAAAGTCCAAAAACAACAAGTGATTCATTTTTCACCTTTTCCTCTCTTTCTCAAACAGTGGATTTTCTGACTGTGTAGACGAAAACATTTTTACTCCAGGAGCTGTCGGTGCTCTCCTTAGATTGATTATTTTCCACCCAATCAGCCTGAACACAGGTAGGTGGGGTGGGGGTTTCCACTGCAGGTTTTTATGAGAGGACACCTGGTCGGCCTGTGCGGGTGAAGGTGGGAGGTCACTAAAAACACCCGGCACTTTTGGAGACCAGCTCTCTGATCCTGCAGGGGTAAAAAAATAAAAATAAAGAGAACGTACCTTAGAGGTGAAGAGGTTGGTGAAGAGCTCCTCAGCGAGCGCTCGCTGCTCCTGCTCTACATCTGACAGAGAAACAGGATCAGAAAACCATCCAGCCAGCAGGGGAGAGTGTTACAAGACAGGATTGTTTTCAATAATGAGAGTTTTTTCCTCGTTGAGGAAGTTAATGTATCTTGACAACAGTTTAGCAAGGCTGAAGGCGACATCAGTGATCCAGCAGGTGATTCAGTTTATATCAGTTTCATGTCCAACTGCTTCATCAGGGCCGATACATAAAATATTTAGGAAAAAGCTCATTTATAAATGTCTAGGTTAAAGCCAAATATTCAGATTACACTACAAAACTGGATTTTGAAGCATTAGCAACATTACTCACTAGAATCGTCTCAATTCAGGATATTAGTCCTTAAATTTAATGTTAAATAACGCTCAAACTGCTTCATTTTGGTAGCAAATCTTACAGAAACATGTTGATGAGAAGTGAGCTGGTATTCTCAAGAGTTTGGTAGTAAGTTGTGTCCAGATTTAGCTGGTTGGGTAGCAACAATTAGGATTTAGCCAGCTGATACAGTGGCTCACAAAAGTATTCATACTCTTTTGAACTTTTCCATATTTTGTCACATTAAGACCACAAACACAAATATGTTTCATTGGAATTTAATGTGAAAAACCAACACGAAGTGGTTAACAATTTGAAGTAGAAAGAAAATTATGCATGATTCAAATTTTTTTTATTTCATAACCCCATGAAAATTTTGCCTCTAAAAAATATAAGTAATAAGAGAAAAGGTTTGAATCTCTGCTAAATTTAAGTATTTATCAATATTTCACAGATGTTTCATGCCTAATCACAAACTAATTACAATTTAATTGTATTTTTTATAAACAAAATGACTTTTTATAATTTATAAGTCATCACTCTGCTCCCATTGGGACCAAGCAAAAACCTATTTGTGCATAATAATGACAGAAGCTGAGAAACTATTAATCTGCTTAAACTTTTAGATCTTAAATATTTATTTTGGATGTTGAAATAAGAAATTTTAAATATTATGCTTTTGAGTTCTTTCATTTGATTAATAAGTAATAAAAGGGGAAATCTTACCTATTGCTGTCAATGTAACATAATAGAAGCATAAATGAAATTAATTTATGTAAAGTCATCTTTGAGATTAATTTCACAAATCTTATAATTAAGTTTTGTTTTTGTTTTTTTTATTGGTTACAGTTTATTTTATCAGTGTGGATTTATCTAATTTTACACACACAAATTTCAAAGGAAAACTGAACTGCAGACATTTGAAATGTTTAATTGAGATTTAACTTAAATAACTGAATTCTTTTCCAAATAGCCAATTCTTAAAAACTTGTCAAATTAATTCAACTTTTCAGCAAACAACATTCAAAATAGACACGATTCATCTTGAAAAGCGTCTGCTGTGGCATAAACTTTCTGAAACCGTGCACCTGTTGAACACTCTGAATCACGTGAACCCGGGGAGAAAACATCTATTTTGTTACTTTTTGGTCCAGCAGATGAAACGACGGAGGAGAACGGGACCCGCTGAGCGATGCCTGCTGCTTACCTGTGCAGAGCGCGCCGCATGGAAAACAGAGGAGGAGCACACAAGCCAACTGCGCCTGCATCTTGACGACAAAATGAGAAAAGGTGTGAAACAAAAGGGGGGCTTCCGCAGTGAGGAGTTCACCTGAGGACGAGCTTAGTCCATAAGGTTAAGGGTCAGAGCGCGACTGAAGAGGCTGGAGATGAATTTATGGAGACGATGCTGCCGCTTCTTTTTTCCCCCCTTCTTTTTTCCTCCTCAAGGTCTGAGATGGTTGTCAGAGCTTCCTGGTTGGATGTGAAGTGCGGTGGGCTCCATTCCCTCCGTATATAAGAGCCCGCGTGATGTCAGAGCGTGGGTCTCTTCCCCCCTCTCCCTGCCCCTCCAGATCGTCTCCCTCCATCCACGTTGCTGTGTCTCGCCGGTCGTCACTCTGGCATCACGGGGCAGAAAGGTTTTTTGCGTCACTGCTCGGGAGATTTTTGGTTTTTTACATCTTCAGTGGAAGAGGTTAGCTGTACGTTGGTCTCTGAGTGGTGGAGGGTGACGCACAGATCACCGTTTCTGTCACCGTTTGGAAAAAAAAAAAAAAACACAAAATAAAACACAAAGCATTGTTCTCTGTTAATTACTGGACGAGTTTGAAACAAGTTGAACAGGCAGCTCTGGGCCGGTGTCTGAGTAACGCTTCACTCATCACTCAGGGATTCATGTAATAATTCAGCTAGCTTGTTAGAAAAGTTCAGACTTTTTTCCAATTACGACATTTTCTCTATAAATGTGTAAAAACTTACACCATCCTTAGTATTTAATGATAATAGATTAGGGGTGCACCAAGAATCGGCTGGCGGATTTATCAACTTCAATTTTCTTAATTTTGGGGGATCTGTGATCAGCCGATAGTTGCTTGTGAAGCCAATCTTTTCTACCACGACAAAGGTCTGAAAATCAGCCACTGGCTCCTGCTGCTCTGCAGTGAGAGCCTGTTAGCCCCGCCCACCAGCTCATGTCTGCACAACCCACTGTTGGCAACTTACCAACTTTCTTCCTATATTTGACGAGATTTCTCACAAACTCCCCCCACAAACGGTATCGGAAAAAATTGGAACTGGGCTTTTTATAGATAGGTGATCGGTCAGAAAACTGCAATCGGTGCAGCCTGTCACAATAAACAATAAATCAATTAATGGCATGATCAATTAAAACGAGTTAGATCATTTCCATTTGGATGATTGTTTTTCTTGTAGCTCTCTCTCTTTTACCAAAGACTGTACAACAAACAGTCTGGTGCAAAATTCTTTCACTCAAATTTTAGTGTTAATTTTAATTGTTTTGTTTGCTTATTTTGAATATTTAAAATGCCTGCCACCTCCAGTGTTAAATGTTAGAATTTAAAGTTTCTTGATCTTTGAAAGTGTGTAATTGCATTATTATTATTATTAACATTATTATTATGTCATTATTATTATATTACTTGAAAATTATCTCAAAGCAACATTATCAACATTATTATCGTTTATTGCAATAAGTTCTGGGACAATAGATTTATCATCCAGTAAAATATGTTTTTGTGACAGGCCTGGTTGTGTTACAGCAGCTCTGTAGCAGCAGATGATGGCTTTGTGTTTTATTGCTCTGGAGCCTTTGGGGGGTGTGTTGACACGCTGCTGCTGCTGCTGCTAATCGATCTGGGCACTAAAGGGCTTCCCTAGTCATTTACACATCATAATTCTGTGGTTTAAAGATTACTCATAATTGGAAAACACTCAAGACGGTTCCCTAGTACGAAGAAAATAGCAAACAGGAACCAGAATACATAAATAGCATCTTAGTCTATGTTCACACATCAGGTAAATGAGACCCAAACCTGCTGTTTTTGCTCCTTTGACCAGTCTGGACGGCCAAATTCTGATCTTTTCAGATAAAAAAAAATCTGATTTGCGTCAGTTCCATATATGGTACATCGAATATGTATTTGATTGTCTTCAAACCTTTGCGTCATTTATGAGACAGAAACTTTATAATTCTGCACCAAACATGGTAAATAAGGATGTAAACAATGGCTGAAAATTCTAATTATGAACTTATGAAAGAAATCTGCATCACATCACAATCCCACCACTCTTAGCTCCGCCTACCAATGCTTTAAACTGATACTGAGTTTTTACTTATGTTCAAATAAATGAATTTCTTTATATTTACCACGGAATTACAACGCAGGGCTGCTTAAAAAAAAACAAAAAACAAAACAATGTTTAAGAGAAAGACAGTTACATATAACGCACTTTAACCCAACGCATTTTTCAGACCAAAAATTCATTTTTTAAAATTAATTTCTGTAAAATCAAGTGAAAACTCAAACCAGTACAAGAGAAAAATCTAATCTAGACCCTTTAACTTATATAATTTTATAATTTTGCTCTATGTTATACATTTTGATTGAGGTATAAAATTATTCAAAACAATCTGATCCATTTGATTCTAAAGCATCAATTGGTTAAAAAAATTGTCATTCATCTCAAAACGTTTTGGCAAAATTATTAAAGGAACACAAACAAGATGTATGGTAACTTGTTGAAACAAAAATACATATTCAGTATTTGGAATACAAATAAGCAAAAATGAGGTAAATCAAAGGGTCTGGGGCTGTTTCTGGGTTTTACATGTTTGGGTCTAACAGCTGATGACAATTGGAGCTCATCAAGTATAACTGTTGAAAAATAAATTTCTCAATTGCACTGCTTCCATTATATAAAAATTGTAACTAAAATCACTAATGAACCTCCTGACTACCAGGAAAAAAAATATTGTCCAATCACCATTTTTTTAAATCCCAGTCTTTGTAAGGTAATAAAAGGTTTTATGCACTTACTTTGTCTCTTCCCATAAAATGTGTTATTACTGATTAATGCAATTTTTATGTATTAGAAAAATATACGAACAAAAGTCCCACCCCTACATATGTGGTATCATTGAAAAGCCCTAAATGTCCTCTCCAGATACCAAAAGGAATTAATTCAGTAGAATGCAGGGGGTGGGAGATATTCAAGTTTAGAAATGTCCTCTACAGAGGCCAAAAATGAACTACTGGTAGTCAGGAGGTGAATAAGTTTGTTCATGCTATAAATCATTAAAAATTACATCTCGCCTTCATCCTCCTACCGCTTCCTGTCGTCTTCTTCATCTTTTTCGCCGGTAGTAACATCCGGTTGTTCATGTGACTCCAGTTTTGTGAAATCCACTAATTTCGATGCAGTTAAAAACCACTTCATCGTAGTGGGATCATTTTGGTAAAAAAAAAAAAAAAACCTGTAAGTTTTTTCAAAATTAGCATGTTTCTATTAAATGGATGTATTTTCTTAAGTGCAGTTTGCACAATGGCTGCACAGTGGCGCAGTTGGTAGAGCTGTTGCCTTGCAGCAAGAAGGTTCTGGGTTCAATTCCTGGCCCCGGTCTTTCTGCATGGAGTTTGCATGTTCTCCCTATGCATGCGTGGGTTTTCTCCAGGTACTCCGGTTTCCTCCCGCAGTCTGAAACATTGCCCCTAGGTGTGAGTGTGTGTCTGCATGGTTGTTTGTCTCTGTGTTGCCCTGCGACAGACTGGCGACCTGTCCAGGGTGTACCCCGCCTCTCAACTGGAACTTTAGCTGGAGATACCCCACTGAGGGACAAGGGTGTACAGAAAATGGATGGATGGACAGTTTGTGCAATTATGGTCAATGGAAACAGCCAGAGACCCAACAGACTTACTGCTCCACTTAATATATATATATTCAGTGACGTAAATAATATTTATTATATTCAAAATCGCTGAATTTTCGCATTTTCCCATTCAAATGCTTGGTGAGGCAGCAGTGAGCTGAGCCTCACCGAGGATTGCGCAACCTCTCGCTAACTGCACCAGTTGCCATTCCATGAAAGCATGCTCCTCCTGTCTGTACGTCGCCAATAAAATGGTTAAAAACATTTAATATATGAACTGATTTTCCATCATTTAGCTTATGTATTTAATGTACTGTGTTTTTATTGTCACCAACTGTGTGCAACGTGTTTCGTGTGCTGAGGAGCGATCATAAACGGCAGAAAACAGATTCGAGGTGAGGCAGGCAGTTCTCGTGACTCATCGCTGGGGGCGCTCATGAACCCAGACATTGTGACTCCACAACTGCAGAGTAAGAGACAGTAACAGCGAG